GGTCAGTACAGCCAACCCCCTGCCACCTCCTTCCCCCAAGACAAAGGGACTCACACCAGTCCTGACCTCCCAGCTGCCGCTAGAGGCTGTGGGTCGTAGACAGGCCTGCCAGCGCTCTCTGGTCATGCAGACAGAGCCTGCAGCTTTCCAGGGGTGCTGCCCGGCACCATGTGCCATGCACAGACACCCCCCAATTCCTCACGCCTTGGCACTTTACCATTTCTTCTCTGTTTCGCTTCTAATCCCTGACTGCAAACTAGTCATAATTCCCTTCTTTGAGAAAGTCTGCCTTAGTCAGTCACAGCCTCCTTCATCTCTCTTTCACACCCATGCCACTGGCTCAGCCAAGCCCTGAGCACCTCAAGTCATTTCCCCAGGAGGGGCTTGTGACCATTTCCAGTACGTGTGTACACACACACACACACACTCCCGCCCCACCACCACCCAAGAGAGCCCAGGAGACAGAGTGACCGACTTTCCCTTGCTCAGACACATGCACACGCGCGTGCATGGACCTGCGATGCTGTGTGCACGGGGCAGTGGCTTGCACCGAGGCTGGTTTCTCCTCACCTTGGGCCGCCGAGTGGTGGTCTGGACAGGCAACAGGAGCCAGAGGAGGAGGGTAGTCAGGGAAAAAGAAAAGAGGCAGGAAGACACAGCAAAAGGGGCAGCAGTGAGAGCAGAAGTGGGAACAGAAACGAGGCTCCACTGAGACACCCCTCCCACCATCCCCGGGCCTTCTCCCCAGGACGAGCCACCTTAGTCCTACTCCAGGGACCCAGAACCCTGGCTCCCTTTGGTCCCTGCTACGATTACACAGGTGGCCAGGCCTCACCCCTTCAGACAGACACTGTGGTCCCAGATGGGCCCGTCTCTCCGCCTGAGCCGCAGGAGCCCAAAGGCAGCAGCTGGTGGAGCTCCCCAGGGCCCAGGCCTCAGGAGCACTGGTCTCACTCCAGCAGGGGGCAGAGGCCCTCCCACAGCACTCCCATGGCTTCTCCCTGGAAGCCCACCCACCACTCACAGGGATGAAGGCCCAGAGTGGGAGATCAAGGCCCTGGGGCAGAGCAAGACTGCTGTCCCCCCACCCCCCTTCAACTGGGGCCTCCCCAGCCCCATCCCGCAGCAGTTCCCATCCCTAGGGCAGAGGGCTCAGGTGTCAGGAGCATCAATACTGCATTAGCCAGAAGCCCAGAGCTCAGCAAAGCAACTCCACCCCGCTGCCTGAAAGGAGGTGGGGGTGGGCCGCAGCAGAGAACCCCAGGCTCTAAGCCACATCCAGCAACCACTCAGGTGGGGCTTGGGAATGGATGAGGCGCCTGACTCCCCCAGGAGGTTTCTGTTCCCCATGCCCCACCACTCTGGCAAATGCCTGCTTTGGCTTGGACCCTGTTTCTAAGAGACAACAACCCCTGCCCTTTCCACCCTGGGCTGTCTCACGAGTGACAGGGCCACCCCATTCTAAGGTCTCCTTTCACTGTTTGGGCGCCCCTGACACAAACCGCTAGGGGTGGGGTTACGCTGGGGGAAGAGCTAAGAGTCATTTTTAGCAAAGGTCAGGCAAGGCAGGCCTGAAAGGCAAGAGAGCCACCTGGGCCTGCTTCCCTAGGTCCCACCACAAGAAGCTCCCCTAGGCCACTGTGGGGCACAGGCTGCCTGAGCCCAAGCCTGTGAAGTCACTGGGTGCAAGGCCCAACCCCAGACTCAGCGGCTGGGGCCCCAAATTGGACAGGGAGCAAATGCTCCTACCCAGGGCATGCTGGGGATATCGACCTCGCCTCCCGTCCCCCCATCCCACCCTGCCTTCCACCTCAGCCAGGTAGACAGACGGGAAGTCAATCAGTCCCCACCCCCACCCCAGCAGCCGGTTGCCACCATCACCCTGGCAACCCAGCAGCAGGAGCAGAGCAGGCAAGAGTACCTTTCGGGCCGTCGGTGCCTGTCTCATGGTTGCAGAAAAGCAAAGAAAGCAGGGAGGCGAGAGAGGAGGGACAGAGGAGGACGGACAAACGAAGGGAGGGAGGGACAGAGATCCAACAGAGGGAAAGGCGGCGGAGACAGGAGATTAGTGCATCAAATCCCAACACTGCAGCCTCAGCTTCCTGGCCAGCGGCTCCCCGGCCCGCAAAGGGCCGCTGCTCCGATGCAGAGGCCCCGCGGGTACGTAGCCAGCCTGCCAGCCTCCAGCAGGCAACGGTGAGGCGCCCGGCCCAGTCCGCCTGCCCTGGCTGATGGCAGCCTCGGCGGCCGCAGCACCAGCTCCGCCTGACGTCATGCACCCACCCTCCTCTGTTCCATGAAGGTGGAGCCACTGCTCCGCGGTCACCTAGCAACGGCCCGGGGCTCTGCTGGCTCCTCCTCCTCCTCCTCCTGATTGGACATAACCCTGCGCAGAGTGGGCCCTGCACCTCCTTCCCAAGAACAGGCTCTATAGCTCCTCATCCTCTGTCTCCCCCATCCTGGACCGCCAAGGAGCTTGCGCCAAGAAACAACGGGTAGCGGCCACCCCGGTAATGGCGGGTACCCTAAGGCCAGGGCAGCACTAGGCAGGATCACGGGGCTTCACAGCTCCATCCCCTCTCATACTCCCTTGCTGCTACCACTCCATTAGCTCCGCTTCTGTCTCATACACACAGACAACCACCCTTATTGTTTCTCACCCACTTGGTCTCTCAGGCACCCACACCCAAGACACCCTTCCGCACAATGGCATTGGCCCGGAGGGCCACACAGTGATGACACAGCCCTGGGGACATTCTCTCTGGGCAGCAAGCTAATGACAGTGGCCGACTCCTCTTCCCCAGACTGCAGACAGGTTAAAGCCTGCCCCCCTCAATGGCTTCTCCAAAGGACTGGGAATTTTGCAGGATCGTCTAGAATTCTTGAGGGGTCCTCAAAGTCTGTTCACTTGCTCCTGGAGTTTGCTCCCCATTCCACCTGGACTCTGAAAGAATGCTGTGAGAACCAGTGAAGGGGGGGGGGAGCCTGCAGGGAGGAGGGGGTGGGGCTGATGCCGAGAACGGAAGGTGTTGTGTCCCCCCACAGTGGCCCAGGCAGCTGCAAAGCCCCCAGGCCCGGGGTATGGCTCGGCTGGCTAGCCCAGGATCCTCCACTGAGAGCCACTGCAGGTTCATGCTTGTCTCTATTCTGTGGACTGTGGTCTGTGGTCAGATGGGAGACCTACCCAGGGGGCCACAATCAAGAGAAGTCAGGTTCCTATTACCCTACAATGGGCCCAGCATTCTTTCCCTTCTTACAACCCCATTTCCACTCAAAGCCAGAACCACCATATGGTCTCTCCCACAACAAGACTCCAAATCGAGGGCCCATCACCCACTTGGGAGTCCAAAGATGCTTTCCTCGCCTCTCCCACTGCCCCCATCCTCTCCACGCACTGCCAGAAAGCGTGCGGCGGCGGGCAGAGGAACAAGAACTCGCAGTGTCGTACACACAGCACAGAACAGACATGCTCATGCAGACGGACGGGACAAGGCTCAGGGCAGGGTCTGGTGTGAGGAGATGGTTAGGACAGAGACCTACGAGTTGAAAAGTGTGTGTGTTGGAGGGAGGGAGGTGGAGAGCACCAGTGAGAAGCCGCTTCAGGCATAGGACCAGAAGAAGCCTAGGCTGGGGAAGAAGAGGCAGAGTGGAAGTGGTGGAGGCGGGCATTCCTGGCAGGGTCCAGCCAAAGGAAGATACACAAAGACTCTCGGGCTGTCCCACTTAGAACTGCTCCCAACCACCTCACTTTCACTTTCCCCAATCCTATTGTCCGGGCCTATGGACCCACTGTGAGGTGTAATCTAGTAAATTATCTACTTCAGAAAGCAGCAAAACCTACTGTTTACAGATTAATATCCTGGGGTCTCAGACCAGGTGTCCTGGGGAAGGAGCGCTTGTTTCTCCTGAGTACTACCTGGGCTAGGATAGGAGCCTGATGGTACGGCACCCCTTCAAAGAACTCTGAGAGCGGAGGCTGCCATTTCCTCTGGCCATCCCAGCCCCGACATCACACACGCACATGCATGCAGCAGCCCAAGGTCATGCAGGACAGTTGGGGAGGGGGCTCACGGTCCCCACCCAGACACAAACAGCAGACACACCACCTTCTTAGGCTTCATCCCCCGCTGCATGAGGAATAAGTAGGAAAGGGCAGAGTTAGAGATCAGATATCACAATGTGCTAGCAAGCCAGACCTCCAGGGTGTGGGTGTTCAGGCCAATCCAGGCACACAGAAGTGAGGGACCCTGATGAGGGTGTGCACACCCTGGCACAGAGGAGGAGAGCCTGGGTGGCACAGCAGAGGGAAGCTATGAAGAGCCCTCAAGTGTGGCCCAAAGCAGGTGGTGGGGGTCCAGCTCCTTGTCACTCACTCACTTCTCACTGTGAACAGAAGCGCTTCCTCTTCCAGCTTCCACGCTAATCCCAGCCCAGACCTTTACAATCTTGGCTGTTTGTGCACCCAAATGTCAAACGCTGGCCATGCCGCTGGGATCAGACCTATCCTTTCCATAACCCCCAGCCTAGCCTCAGTCCCATTTGACCCCGACCTTCTGGACCCTCACAGCTCCTGCCCGCTACCAACATCACTCTCGCCCTCATGCAAGTCATACCCAGAAAAGCTTCCTTCCAGAGAAACGGGAAATGGACGCAGTTCAGACTCCCTTACCTAGGTTTCCCTCCTCTTCCTCCTTCTCCTCCCTGTCCTTCCCCATCACTGCCCACCCACCCCGCCCCAAGCCCCAAGCACTCACCAGTTTGCTGGTCTTTGCAGCAGAGCCATCAGTCCCCTCTGTGGAAAGGAAGCAAAAACAAAGCGTGTGTTTGTAGGAGGACGTTGGGAAGAAAAGCTTCAT